ACCTTTAAAGAATGTATCTTATCGGAATCAGCTGATTTGAGGGGGGTTTCACTTCACCTTAACATTGAGCGATAGATATTCTGTTACTAATTGGGTCTGGTAATAATTTGCATCGTATTAAAATTAAATTATGGTAACTAGAGACATATAATTGATTGATGCATAGGTGTGAAGATAATTTAAATTATACAGCGATATAACGGGTTTATGTGTTTTTATGCAATAATTACTTTACTTGTATGACGTGATAAAAAGTCGTAGAGAAACAAATTATTAATATTTTCAAAAGGTACGTTTGTAGAGTTCCTTCATAGATCAGGCCATGAACTTGCCTTTTTTTACACTCTAGGTGGCTTTTTGTCGAAATTGATTCATCACTTGTTTACTGTTGAGCGATTACATGGAGTGTGGAAGATTAAAATTACTTCGAACAATTGTTGCATTTGAGAAATGCAACAACCTGTGAATGGGAGTCATAAGTAAATTGTTTCCCAATTAAATCAGTTTCCGTCGATCAATCGTCTGGCACCCCTAATGTGCACAAGCGCAAGATTACATATTAGATAACCCGTGGTGTTCTCCGGGGCATTATACAATCAAGGAAGCCATACGTGCAAACCATATACTAGACGCGCAAATACTTTTACGTAAAACTTAATCCAGTTACTCTACGAGTGACTCCTATCTTCTATCGTCCGATGCTTCTAGACATCTCGCAATAATATAACTTTCAATCATATTCTTAAAAATAATATAGCATCCAAAAACATCGAACTGATCAATTCAGGTGAAGTGAAACCTCCTTCAAATCAGTCGATTCGGATACAACACTTTTTTTTAAGGGTATTAAACCAAACTGTCCGAAACCTTGACACATCACTCTTGATCATTTAAGAATTGTCCTGACACATTCAAAATTTGGATTTTTTAACCAAATTTTTTAACTCAGTCCAGACCAGAACCAAAATGGCATCGAGCTCTCATATTATTATTATCAAAGGCTCTGATATGAGAATCGAAAGATTCAGGACAATTTTACGCCAATTTAGAACACTCTGGTAGTCGATAAACTGGCATTTGAAAGGGGATAAAGGCGAAAGAAGTGTTGTATGCGCTTCTATGTTAAAAGGATGGGAATACGAGGTCTCGGAGTGAAAATTTAATTGACCTGGAAATCACAGATGGCGCAGGGGGTCCCTCTGCAGTCAATTAGGGCCCCAGAAAGCATTAATCCAGAAGATTTCTGGAGTTTTACTTCGATTTCTTTATAATTATTGTACGAAAACGACAGATGGAGTATGATATTTGGTATAATATCCAATATAATTCGACACAGCTGTCAATATAAAAACGAACATCGGCAACGTAGGCATTTAGAAAAATCTTCTTTATAGACGTCGATCAAGTTCCTCGGCGTGTTTCACTTCACCTTAATATGGAGCTGTATTTTAATGGCTATCCGTCCTTTAAAGCGTACGAACGCATCGCTAAAATACAACGTAGTTCATTCATAGTAACTAACATAAGGACATATTTTAACCCAATACTATGTCATTGTACACATTTTATTTAAATAAATAAACATTACATAAGTAACATCCGAAAAAAAAAAAATATTCAAACAACTACCAATGTATAGAAATTAATCGATGACGTTAGAATATAGTCTGGTATTTTATCTAGAATTAAAAAAATTAGTTTCCATTGAACATGATCGCCATTTCGAGAAACTCTATTCGTGCACAAGTAAACAGCGTTTGTGCTGTAGACAGAAATGACTTTTCCAGGTCAAAACAATCATCGGTAAGGCCGGTTTTTACTGAACATATTTATACACTGAAATTATCGGCTTGAGTCTGGCGTTATAATTTCTCCGTAGAACTTACCATAAAGAAAATAGAAATACCCAACGTGTGTAATACTATTCTAAAACTGAATCTGGACACATTGTGAGAGATATTACTAACCACAAACGTTCCTAATGGAATCAGTCCACGATTCTGTACTATGTTCTAAATCTCCGGGGTCAATAGTTTCCCATATTTATTTCTCCACCTTTGAAGGTCATTTTAGAAACTCTAGTCGTTCGTTCAAATATAATAACCAAAGATTGAGAAAAATGAAGTTTTAATATTCCCCTTTTTCCACTTTGGTCTTACATAGTTGACTATAATTACTAATCATGAATCGAAAAAATTGCAATAGCACTGAAGAAAATCAAACCATTTTTAATATTCCCCTTTTCCCAATTTGGTTTTACATAGTTGACAATAATTACTAATCATGAATCGAAAAGATTGCAATAGCACTAGAGAAAATCAGATAACTATTCTTCAAGATCATTGATCGATTACTTATTTCCGTAATATCGCTGATTATCATTTCGATTCCGATCTAACCGACCGAGATAAACCTAACCCAGGTAACGCGGAACGTGGAATATCCATAAATGAATCGTATATAAATGTTTATTGAACGTATGTAAGATATATATAGATATCTACGAACTATTTTAGATACACTCAAAGGCTAGATGTCCGGACATGGTACATAAGATATCTACAATAGATGGTCTATAGATATTCATATGAATTTGTAAAAAAAATTAAATTCATAACACTTTTTGAGCAGAGTCTGTTTGAGAACTTGTTCTCAGTACAGCTATGCAGACAAATCCTGCTGTTTTTGACACAGAAAATAATTTGCAATTGTTGGGATTTGAACCCGGCACTGACGGATACAAAGCAGAAACGTTAACCATGATTCTACCAAAGTCTACAAATTAATAAATGTTTTTCGAACTTACGAAGACCGCTCCGGTGTTTCTCGATCGGTGCTAAAGATACTTATTGCATCTTATTGTAAACTTATTCTTAAAAAGAACTCTTTAGTGATAATTAAGTCATTTAAAAAATTGTAACAGTATGTTATAAAACCACTTTTTTATTTAAAAGTGTATAATAAATGTATACCAATTCACCTTTAAGATACTAAACTTATAATTTTAGTACAACCTTATATACTAAATGTGCATGAATTTTATGAATATTATTTAAAGATATTTCATTTAAATGTGCGCAATTTTTTAGTGTAACTACGTTTTTATAAATATATGAAAGCTGAATATAAACTATTACTCTGAATATAAACTATCACTTTAACGTTTTCGAATAGTTTAGTTTCTATACAGGTTATCTTCTATGATATATGTACTGTAAATACAGGTATGGGAGAGATTTACATATATATTCACGAAAATTGTTATTATTATTTTTCTAAACGTATTTTCAACGATGTTGATTAACCTTTGGTCGATGTCTACTAGAGCTATTATGTATTTTGTATGCGTCAAGAAATAAGTAGATATTTGTAGATCAATAGTGGATATATAATTAAAAAAAAAATAAATTGTATATATTGTAGATGAAAATTATATATCCAAAAATATCTAAAGGACATATATACTTTTTTTAGGTGGATGATAGACAATATACATTTGCTGTACATATAGACCTAATTTAGACAATTAATTTACGTATACCCACTTCATGGGTTGCCTGGTAAACTAAAGCAGATTTGGTAATTCCTATGGATCAAAGATCCTTTCTAAAGATAGCTATACACGTAACAATAAATCGTAGCGATAAATCTGTGCAAAACGACCTGTACAGATTAGACTGACATGTGAATTACGTGTGAACGGCACAGAAAAACTCGATTTAACTGCACATACCACATATCGACACAATCTATTGTTACATGTGTAGCCACCTTAAGAAACTTTAAGAATCCTCAGTCGAAATCGGTGAAGCACATTCGAAAATAATTTTCGGGTAAGCAAATCGATCGCACTGGACTGGACTGCTTTGAACAATTCGTACATGAACAAATAATATGGTCCTTTGAACAAAGTCGTTCGATTCACTGCTTTAATTTCAGAAAGTCTTTGATTGAATAAACCGAATGTTAGTTCACATGCAATTAGCTAGACTCGTTTGCTTCATTAATCAATTGCGTGTTCGCGTAACGCAATTACCATTAATCACTTAAAATATTCCTTAAATCGTACTTATTCATTTTAGAAAATATTTCAGTTAACAGACCAAATTGTTTAATATTTGGTATGATCTACCGCAATAATTAATGTAATCAATCGAAGAATTTTGTCATGCGAACACAATATTTAGTTGTCCACGTAATAACCATATTCTAAAGTTGAACCAAGAAAAATGTATTTGATTCAACGAAGTATTTTTCTACGTATACTGGACGCCTTTTCACATCCGACCGGCACGACACGATTCCGATCGAAACAGGGATTCCAGAAAAGTCGACAAACCGAGCAAGTTTAAAACTGCCGGCGTCTCAAGAAGAGTGCGCAGCCCCTCGCATCGACTCCACCGTGATAAGCCGCGGTGGAGTCCTCGTCCTTCCTCACCGCGACAGGTGAGTCTCCTTACTCGGTACCGGCCGCACTTGACCCATATCTTATTATGCTCGCAGCGTCCGGATTCGATGGGACTTTAAAACCGAGGTTACGCAGCGCTTACGGAGCCGAGACCCGGTCGAGTCCGATCGGACGGACGTCCTTCTTCCTGTCGACAGGACCTCTTCCGCAAAAATCCGAGTCTCCGGTCGAACGGGGAGTGCGCGCGAGGTCCGCCGAAACCAGGACGTGTCTGCGACAGAGGCCATCCGGCTTATTCTTGACCGGCATTCCGGAAGGTCTCAACCTCGACGGAGGTCCCGAGGCGATCGTCGGAGCCTTTGCCGAGGCGCGGCGCATGCGTGCCCCCGGCTTTTTCTTCTCTAAGAGGGAGATATCTTCCTTACTCGCGAAAGTATTTAAACAAGTGCGCGAGCCTTCGAGAAGGCCACTATTCCGTAAACTGTCACGCTGCCCGCGCGAAATCTCATAAACATCCCTTAAGGAAAGTCCCGGTTTCCCTGGCCCTGGCCAACGGGTCCAACAAGCATCCAGCGATGAAGATCCAGTGAACGCGACCCTTCGCCATATCGCTACTCGACGGTGCACCAGAGATGGTTCCGATTGATCCCGTAAATCTTTGCCCGATCGAGTGGACTCGTCAATGAGAGATCTTTTCGGCGCATGGAGTTTAACGCTACGCGACGAGTCCTCGAATAATCGGAGAGACTTTTGGAAAACGAAGGATCCATCATGGAAGAGCTGGAGGTGCAACAGGAGCTCAGAGACCAAGTGGGGAGTCTGACGTTTTCCCCGCCCCCCATGAAGAAATCCGACACGAGGGACAGCATCTCCTCGGTGGACAGCGACGTGAGCCTGTCGTTTGACCGAAGGGGGTCCAAGGGTGAAGAGGCCGACTTGTCCGATTGCGGAAGTTCCGACTGCGAAGGCAAGGCCTCCGAGATACTGGGTAGGTCGCTCAAGCATAGTAACGACTCGGGAGCAAACTCCTTCGACGACATCGTTCCCAGGGAATCGAGCACCCCGATAGCGACCTTTTCTTTAGAGAAATCTGCCGTTTCCGAAACCACTAGTTCTGGTGCTGCTGGTGCCATCGACACCAGTTCCAATACCGCCCTCGGAGACTTCGTTCCGCCCAGCGACGAGCTCGCCGACAGAATCTGTGCTCAAGTTGAGTTCTACTTTTCCGATGAGAACATTGTCAAGGACGCGTTCCTCCTTAAACACGTGAAAAGGAATAAGGAAGGTTACGTTTCGCTCAAACTTATCTCGAGCTTCAAGAGAATCAAACACCTGAGCAGGGACTGGAGGGTCGTTGGAATCGCCCTGAAGAGATCTAAGAAGATCGAAGTGAACGAACTCGGTACCAAACTCAGGAGAGTCGATCCTCTACCGCCATTCGACCAAACCACTCCATCGAGGACCGTCTTAGCTGCGAAACTTCCCCTCGAGAAGCTATCCGTCGAATCTGTTGCCGAAATCTTTAGTCAGTGTGGCGAAATCTCACTGATCAGAGTCCTGAAGCCTGGGCATCCGATTCCCGCGGAAGTAAGTTTCCCTCGCAATTAGATCCCGGGGTTCGACAAAAACGAACACACGGGTCGATGAAAGAAGTAATTTCTTTTCAAACTCACGAAAGTTATGAGTTTTCCTTCTATATAAAATGCGTATCACCGGGTAACATCGTATATACAGATATTCAATAAGTACATACATTTTTCTCGATATAAGAAATATTACCTCGAAATTAAATTAAGAAGAGAACGAAATTCGGAATCGAATATTAAAATGAACGTTCGGGTACATTTATAAAAAAACCTTTACCTAACCTTTAAACGATTTAATTATTAAGTAACTACACTTAGTAAAATTCAAGTATCTTGTAATATTAGAGAAGACTATTACGCTTCTTGAATGTGTAACGTTGGTTTCGATCGCAGATACGACAAGCAATCGCAAAGAGACCGGAGCTAACGTCATCCGAAAACTGCGCCTTGGTAGAATTTACCGACTCTGCCTCAGCCAGAGCTGCTCTGCAGCTGAAATTAGGCGAGGCGAAGATCTACGAGCTGCATCACTCGGGCGAAAAGAAAAGGAAGGCTTCCCCGGCGAAGAAGAGCGCCGTTGCCAGGTTAGCCGCGGAAGAGACATATAATTCATCCAGCTGCGCCAGTGGGTCTGAAACCGAGGATGCCAGAACGAGACATAAGAAGCCGATGTACGGTCATCCAATTTACCACGTCTACCCTGGACAATCTTTTCCAGGTAACTTTTCAACATCTAAAATAACATGCGAGATGAATACATCTTCCCCAGGTATAAAAAACTTTGCCATACATACATACATATTGACGGGCACACATATATATAACATTTTTGGCGAGCCGCATAATAATAGATCAATAAATCACCTCACAGGAAGCTTTACTATGTCAATGTCACCAAACATTCAACTTTTGAATNAAAAAATATAAACAATTTTTGAAACATTTTTGGCGAACCGCATAATAATAGATCAATAAATCACCTCACAGGAAGCTTTACTATGTCAATGTCACCAAACATTCAACTTTTGAATAGCGATCGTAAAACCTGATTTCACCTAATGCCAGCAGGTACCTTATGATATATCCATATCATTGTTCACACACTTTTTTCAATATATTATAATAGAATAAAGCCTATAACGTTTTCAAACAATTATCGTTTTCGTCTTATTTTTAGTTTATTATACGGCTCGCCAAAAATAAAATTGTTTATATTTTTTATGTTATAGTTTCTGTGCCTTAATCGGTTTAGAAAAGTTATTAATGAACCAGAAGTGATATACTTTGTGTATTTGATACATAGTAACGGATCTTAATAGTTTTTTTAACAATTTGAATTATATAGTTTTATACACTATGTTTATTAATTCTTTAGCTAATAAAAGTTCTGAATGAACCTGCGAAGAACAATTGTTTGTATTTGGTGCATAATAATTGATTTCGGTTGTTTTGTAACTCGATTTACATAATGTAACCGAAATTATGATTGGACAGGATTATTGGCGGGCACACACACGTGTGTGTGTGTGTCAATATATATAATGTGTATAAAACTATATAATTCAAATTGTTAAAAAAACTATTAAGATCCGTTACTATGTATCAAATACACAAAGTATATCACTTCTGGTTCATTAATAACTTTTCTAAACCGATTAAGGCACAGAAACTATAACATAAAAAATATAAACAATTTTATTTTTGGCGAGCCGTATAATAAACTAAAAATAAGACGAAAACGATAATTGTTTGAAAACGTTATAGGCTTTATTCTATTATAATATATTGAAAAAAGTGTGTGAACAATGATATGGATATATCATAAGGTACCTGCTGGCATTAGGTGAAATCAGGTTTTACGATCGCTATTAAAAAGTTGAATGTTTGGTGACATTGACATAGTAAAGCTTCCTGTGAGGTGATTTATTGATCTATTATTATGCGGTTCGCCAAAAATGTTTCAAAAATTGTTTATATTTTTTATGTCATAGATGCTGTGCCTTAATACTTTAGTTTAGAAATGTGATTAATGAACCAGAAGTGGTATNTCAGGTTTTACGATCGCCATTAAAAAGTTGAATGTTTGGTGACATTGACATAGTAAAGCTTCCTGTGAGGTGATTTATTGATCTATTATTATGCGACTCGCCAAAAATGTTTCAAAAATTGTTTATATTTTTTATGTCATAGATGCTGTGCCTTAATACTTTAGTTTAGAAATGTGATTAATGAACCAGAAGTGGTATACTTTCTGTATTTGGTACATAGTAACGGATTTTGATAGTTTTTTTAACAATTTGAATTATATAGTTTTATACATTGTGTTTTAATTCTTTTGCTAATAAAAGATATAAATAAATCTCAGAAGAAAGATTGTTTGCATCTGGTACATGATAATTGATTTCAGTTGTTTTGTGAGTGGATCAACATAATGTAACCGAAATTATGATTAGAAAGAAGTATTGACGGGCACATATATATATGTAATTGGCTGTTTTTTTTTACACCTGGAGAAGGTGAAGCAGAAGAAAAAGCAGCCCTACCTCAGTAACGTCGAGCATTAGTGTTATCAAACGCCGAGCCTCGATAAAAATTGCATACTTCACGTAAAGAAATAAAAACTTTGTTAATAAGAAATTTAATAGGAAACAGATATCTATTGTACTACACAACAAAAGAACTCGACATTTATAAGTTTTGTACCTTTTCTTGGGACGTGTACGTATTGCATCGAATGGGAAATTCTGCAAGAGCCGTAATAAATATGGTCATGTAGCTGGCTATTTCGGCTAGTCGTTCGGTGCGCATCTATAGCGCATGACGTCACGACTAATGCTCGTGGCGAAAATTCGATGAAGTTTTATGCGAGGGAAATGTCTTTGTTAAGGTGAAGTGAAACCCCCTTCAAATCAGTCGATTCGAATACAACACTTTTTTTTAAGGGTATTAGACCAAACTGTCCGAAACTTCGACACATCGCTCCTAATCATCTAAGAATTGTCCCGACACATTCAAAATTTGGATTTTTGGAAAAAATTTTTTAACTTGGCCCAGACCAGAATCAAAATGGCGTCGAGTTCTCATATTTCGATCAATAAACAATTATCGAAGGCTCTGATATGAGAAACGAAAGAGTCAGGACAATTTTACGACAATTTAGAACACTCTGGCAATCGATAAACTCGCATTTGAACGGGATAAAGTCAAAAAAAGTGTTGTATGCGCTTCTATGCTAAAACGATGGGAATACGAGGTCTCGGAGTGAAGATTTAATTCACCTGGAAATCACAGATGGCGCAGGGGGTCCTTCTGCAGTCAATTAGGGCCTCAGAAAGCATGAATCCAGAGGATTTCTGGAGTTCTACTTTGATTTCTTGATATTTATTGTACGAAAACGACAGGTGGAGTATGCCATTTGGTACAATATCCAATATAATTCGACACAGTTGTCGATATAAAAACGAACGTCGGCATCGTAGGTATTTAGAAAATCTTCTTTATCGACGTTGATCAAGTTCCTCGACGTGTTTCACTTCATCTTAACAGCTTCGCATGTTCGCGCTCCAAAGTTTCGATTTTGAATATTCAATGGCGGTTCCCAGTGAAAGGGTGTGAAGTTGACAAGTATACAACTTTTCCTGCGTGCCTCTGTTTCGATTTTCATTGGTGGATCTGTATAACAATGCCGTATACGCTGCACGAGTAACGACATAGGCCATGTTGCACCGCCATGATAGGTTCGTGGACTGCCAGTACGGATTTTTATTCATTATTCTTCTGACAAATAATTAAAAAATTTGATTCCGTAAGGAAAGTTCAGAAGACTGCGATTTCACCTATTCGAGTTATTCAAAGTACATCCTGTACAAACATCTTCAGGTGCGAAGTTTGCCCGCTTCCAACTCTTGTGGGTGTGAAAACACACAGAGAAAATGATGCACCATTTTACGTTAAAGAAATAAGGAAGCACTTTAAAAATTAATCAAATCGCGTCTGTCCTAGGTCCACCATCTCCAGAAGCCTGGCTATCTAGAAGACTCTCATCGTGCTCGCTATCGAGCTCGGACAACGGCTTCTTTCTGCGACGTCTCTCGTCCTGTTCCAGCTCTGGTTCCGGATCCGAGGGAAACGGCTACACAAGAAGGTTCTCCGCGTGTTCCTCCAGCTCGGACAATGGTTACTACCATCCTATCTACCCGCCAGGATATTACTCTCCGACCAGACGGTTCTCCTGCTGTTCTGGGCCCGGATCCTCTTCTGGTTCAGGAAACGAGTGCATCTCTGCAATGTACAGCCCCGTGCGTCGAGGTTCAGCAGAATGCGGCCCATTCCTGCGGAGACTGTCCGGATGCAGCCGAGATTCAGGCTTCGAGATCAGTCCTAGGAGACTGTCCTCTTGTTCTTCTGGCTCCGAGACTGGTTTTTGTCGTCCGAGAAGTAATAGCGGAATCGTTATGGCCCACCTTCCGGAAAACGTAACGAGGATGCCCTCGGGTCCGGACGGTACCCGTGGCTTCGGCAGACTTAAATTGAACTCTATAGCCACGTCCGTGGAACCCACCTGTTAAATAGTTCATCTTTTGTTCATACATGTTTATACCGATCACTATTGTTCCTCTCAATGTAGAATTTATTCACCGTCTGATACTTTTCAGGAACGTAAATGAAACTCCAGAATAGTCTGAAAAACTGTGTAAGGGAAAACAGTTCCATTCATTCTGTCAAAATAAGGTGGAATATATCGTAGAAGTGTTTATCTCTAACAATTCTGCTATTTTTGCTAAAAATAGGGTATTGCTTTTTTAAGGCAATTCGTGTACTACCGAGTAGCTATGGCAAATCAATATTTTTTTGCGATGAGGTAGGATTGTCAGCGAAAACATTCCTGCAGGTCATTTTAAGTAAGAAACAGCAACTCCTTCGGGATTATAGAAAGTAGTTGCATTGCCAATGTGATGGATATGACGTCTTATTGAAAAACGAAACTTCGTGGCCTTGAAGGGGTTGCTGGTTCTGATTTAGAGTATTACATTAACTATGTCCGGATTTCTTTTGCGGCATTCTTTTCGGGCATTATTTTCTGTCACTTATTCCTATTGTATTGTTGATTCTATATTTACCGTATCATAGCATGTAAATAGTTATGTACATTAGTGCGATGTCAAAGCTTTGTATTACTTTTAAGAACAAATACACGACCGTCATGGTATGCCTACATGCATGGAAATGTCCTTCTTGTCAAATATCTTTACAATGATCATGAAAAAATACTCCCGCATTGACTCAAAGAATTTCTGTTACATGTTCTATCCTATTTTACCAAAATATTGACCGATGCATACATGAATAATTCTTGCGTTTCCGTATCACATACTTGTGTAGTAAACAATGCTAGGGTTACAAAAACAAACACGTAATCAATGTACTTTCCACCAACTGGAAGCATGACAAGAAAACTCATTCGATAACTTCATTAAAAAAAAAAAACAATCTCAGACGAATTATATTCGCTGAGTTTGCGAGTTGAAGTCATGAATCACTTTTCGGCTACGTAAACGCAGACCAATTACATAGAATAATCACTTGTAAATAAGGCGGTTATTAATTATTCTATACCTTGCGACAGTGACGAAAAATAGCAATATCTAAATCATATCGACTAGAAAGGGATGGCTTAAAAATATTGTTTCCATCACCCGCATAGAAAGAGCGACTTTTCACGCCTGTTGTCTCGAATGAAAATGTATTCCGACTCATTTTTCTCTACTAGCTGCAAACTTCATATCATAACATATCCACGAGAAGAAAAATGAGATCCTTAAATTTAAAGAAGCCTATATTTGACATTTTTGTTCTAGATACAGTTGGAAACTGTCCTTCTAACGGATTAATTCAATCCTTCCTTACATGCACAGTTAGCAGAAACATTTCTATATTATTCAGCTGTAATTATAGCTGACAGACATTTGTCTGTTAACATTAAAAGTGATAAAACTAATATATTTGAAGCATTAAAAAATAGTAGATGCAGCAAAAGATATCTATAGACCAGATTCAGTCAGATCAGTTTACTGTTTTCAGAAAGATTAAAAATATTTATAAATGTTAACGAAGAAATCTGCCGATTTAACAGATTCAATCTGCAGATTTTTCTTGTAGAAGTACCACGCATATGGAACAGTTGAATGCGCATGCAAATTATTCCGCATCGGAAATGCCTTTCTTTTGTTGAACAATGCCTCGATACCGATAATTCTTGACTCCTGTTTCATTTTAACAATTTCTTTCGGTTATAAGTATTTACATTTGTTATGTGTCATTTATAGAGCTCTAATGATACTGGCAAGTTTTCTAAACAAGGGTGTTCTGCGACACTAAACCAACTCGCGATTGTCAATCAATCCCCGAGGGTCGTAAATCCTCGGGCTGGGGAAGACGGGCTCGAATAGTGTTTTGCTGAAGAGGGAATTAACCGCCAGCAGCTGGTTTCGCGTATTGAATGAAATATTCCGGATTTTAGTGACACAATAAACTATATTTCCTTTACAGCCAAGGGAAGATGCGTGAATTTACGGTGGTGGTTAGTTGGCTCGGCAACTGGACTTTTTATACGTTGACTCGGCAACGTTTTACTGGTATCTGATTTTTACAAAATGTCTTAAAAAATATCCGAATGCATAGTTCCCCCTCCAACTCGGTGGAGGGAGGAAGTCGGACCTTGAGTCGAGCATTCTCATTGGCAGAGAAAAAATTCCCGAAGGGTTTCCGCCCTCGAAGGCACCCGCGAAGCGGCCGGTGACGTAGGCCGCAGATTCGCGAAAAAAAACCCTCGAGTGGCGTCTGGTCGTCAGAAGCGGGCTTCGGAATTTTTAGAAAGTTAAAAAATCTGTTCGCCAGACGTCATCTCGGACCTTCGGCAAAAATCCTCGAAAAGAGACCCTTTGAGAATGCTCGGACTCGTAAGTTTTATTGCCCCCCTTTCGAGGGTGGCTCGGGTCCTTCGGTACGCGTGGGAAGGACCTCGAGTTTCCGTGGGCCTTGACTCGAGCGATTATAAAAGATTAAATTTATACTAATAATTAACGCGGATGGGCTATCGACGCTCCAAAGGGTCTAATTAATAAAAAATAAATACGTCAAAACTCCGACGGAAACGTTGTTTACTGAAAGGTAACTTTGAAAACAGTTTAATTATTTCTTCAATGAAGACGTTTAAAGCCCAGTTGTATGTAACCATTATTTAATTGTAATATTAAATCGTTTATATTGCAGTTTCTTATAATTCCTGCTAATCCTGTTAATGGTATACTTAAATTATATGTATTCAATATGACAAAATGGAAATCAAAAACACTGAAAAATAAATGATATAATACATTCTAGATTGTAAAGGAATTTTACATTTGTGTTTTATCATACCTATAATAATATACGCCACTAAAAGAACTATTTAGGAATTTAAGGAGGTTCTAATATTAACATTTTAATAGCGTAACACTTTACGAATGTACATTTGCAACCATTACAGAAATGTCCTTGCCTACCTTTATAACATTACTTGTTACCTTCACAGATATTGTTGTTATTTTCACAGGTTTAACGTGATATGAAAGGCGTAGAGTTCAAAAATTCTCGGTAACATTAAATTGGAGAAGGTAACTGTGAAACATACCGTAAGTTACCGGGAACATTGAGAATTTAAGAGAACGTTAATTTTGTTATTTATACTTTAGGTTTCTTCGTTTAAGTAACTTTTTTTTTTCAATCAACTTCAAAATTCAAGCTGTAGAGTAATAATTACTATTAGAAAATATTGATTATAGGGTCGTATTTACCTCCAACTAAAAATATTAACGTATCTACAATTTTACGGAAACTTCCATGCGATTTGTTTCAAATGAACTAATATTTCATTCTGTGACGAAACGAATGGAAGGTTTTGATTGGCTACGGAGAACGTAAAACGGAAATTCCCCTCTACGATGTTTCTCTATAGCTAATCGAAACCCCTCGTTCGATCTGTTGAAAAATTCAAATTCTCATAATTTCTCGATAAAAGAGGCTTTGAAGAAATTACCGATAAGTTACCGGGAATTTCTCTTCGTTTCTGACGTAACTTACTGGATTTAAAACTCTAGAAAGGCGGTGAGAAATTTAATCGATGTCGGTAAAATAAAATTCATCTATACTCTTTTTGGCGGTAACGCTATTTTAGATACTCAATTGGTAACATAAGCTGACGCGTCACGTTACCGACATTTATATTTACATTGAAGTCTTTTACAGTCTACGTTGAGAATTATACGAAATGAAACATTCCATATGTTATTTCGGGAAAGAAATGAAAAAAATTATAAACTTAATTTGAAAACAACATTGTATTTGGTAAGAACTGAAATAGTAATGAGAAGTCCAATAAGTACACTTCGGATGCTCGACAAATAAAATGTTGTTTCAAATTGAGTTTTTAATTTTTTTCTTATTTCATCAGATTTAGTTTTAAGTTTTATTTGGTTAGATGAAAACAGAAAAATAGATTTTCATAGACACATATGATTTTAAGTGATGATATAATTTTTGGAGTAGATGTACTTGTATTGCATGGAACGAAATGTACAATAATTTGGTAATAATATCTGANAGTATTAGCCCATAATGGTATCAATTACAGTACTGCATTGAGAATAGCATTGTTTGATTATTCATTAGTAATGAAAAAAAGATAACAGAATCGGTGAAACGTTAAGTTTAATTAATCGGTATGGTTATCTAAGACGATACATACCTCACTTTTTAGTCATTTCTAAACATTTATTTTCATATATTTAAAATGAAACATTCAATATTTACTAATATTATTAATTTTCAGCTTGGCACTTTTCTAAATCTTGCAGTTGGAATTCATGAGATAACATCAGATTTTTTTTCGTCTTACAGAATTTATATCAGTACCCCAACTGCACGCCTGGGAGGATTATTACTGCAAATACTTGGTGAAAAAGTAAAAGTACCGATAGCATATTAGCAATGATAGCAATATCCCCTATTCTAAATAAATTTGAGAAGCAATGATATTTTTTATTTTGATACAATCAAAGCATCAACACTTTTTTCGATATTAAAAACACTGATACCTTTTAGTTGAAATAAAGAATATCAATAATTTGACGTATAGTTGTTGACTTCAATTTAGATATTAACAACAGTTTGATTCCAGTATTGTATCAAATCTTTCACCATTTTATCAGCAAGTATTTTCAGCAATATTAATCTCAGTACAGTAGTAGTGACGGCATCGATCCTTTGAGATTCAGAATAAGTGCAGTTTGCCTCAGATCAGTTCTTGGAGATCAACTGCTACATTTACCAATGTAAAACTGAAAATTAATATTAATAATATCAGTTCTTCAAAAATGTACACTTCATACATTACTTTATTGTAACAGAATAATAATAGTTTCTAGACGTATCAAAAAGATAACATAGTTTTCATGATTTGGCCACAATAAAGTAGGAAGTTTAAAATTTTTCTAAATTATGCTGTACACATAAATCTTCACACTTCTCTTAAGGTGAAGTGAAACACGTCGAGGAACTTGGTCGACGTAGATAAAGAAGATTTTTCTAAATGCCTACGTTGCCGACGTTCATTTTTATATTGACAGCTGGGTCGAATTATATTGGGTATTGTACCAAATGGCATACTCCACCTGTCGTTTTCGTACAATAATTATAAAGAAATCTAAGTAAAACTCCAGAAATCCTCTGGATTCATGCTTTCTGGGGCCCTAATTGATTGCAGAGGGACCCCCTGCGCTATCTGTGATTTCCAGGTGAATTAAATCTTCACTCCGAGACCTCGTATTCCCATCGTTTTGGCATAGAAGCGCATACAACACTTTTTTTGCCTTTGTCCCGCTCAAATGCGAGTTTATCGATTACCAGAGTGTTCTAAATTGTCGTAAAATTGTCCTGACTCTTTCGATTCTCATATCAGAGCCCTCAATAATTGTATATTGATCGAAATATGAAAGCTCGACGCCATTTTGGTTCTGGTCTGGGCTGAGTTAAAAAAATTTGTTTAAAAATCCAAATCTTGAATGTGTCAGGACAATTCTTAGATGATCAGGAGGGATGTGTCAAAGTTTCGGACAGTTTGGTCTAATACCTTTTAAAAAAAGTGTTGTATTCGTATCGACCGATTTCAAGGGTGTTTCACTTCACCTTAACAAGACTACTTCACCTTAATAATCTGTATGATTTTCAAATTCGCCTTAACCTCTGCGATCTTCAAATTCATTTTAGTAACCTTTAAGGTTAAGGTAAGGTGGGTGTGAAATAGAATCGGATGATTCATCTTGACAACCTATAAAATCTTCAAATTCATCTTAAATGCCTGTAAGATATTAGATTAACTGTCGTTTTTGATAATTGAAAGTAATATGAAAATGTTTTCGTCATAAACAATTTGTATTTTCCAAAACCATTGATGGATAAACAAATTTTTTTTCTTAGGTATATAAATAAACATTAATATTAATTTTATATTGAAATTTTAAATTTAATATCGAAATTACAAAACTATATTCAACAAAAGTATGTATTAATATGTTGAAATCATAAAAATTTGCTCATCGATGTCAGTTATTGTTGAGCATATTATCATAATTCAACATTAAACTTGAAATTCAATTTCAATTTGGATTAATTTAAACATTTACGTCCCCAGTTTTGTTTACCCATCAGAAGACTTTTGACTGCTTTTGACGACAGTTAACCCATATCAGGGGGTCGACACTGCCATGTATGTACATATACATATTCCTCCCGACGGCGGTCACCCTCGGACCTTATCACCCCTTCCTTCCGCAGCTCGTAAGGCGGATTGTCATTTTACAGCGACCGCGATCATGTAATTAACAGAGGGAATGGAAGATCAATTCCACCACGAGAAATGTCGTCTCGAATTAACTGTGCCATCTCGTCGTAATGTTAACCCTTCGTTGTCCACACCTTTTTCGGACAAGTAATTTTATGACTTGTATTTGTATTTGAAATGCCAGTAAACAATTTTATTTCATCAGTTTTTGCGAATGCGGCTATTTCGAGTTACGCGTGTTGTTTAACTTTTTCGAAAGTTGATTCAGTTGATAGAACAAGTATCATTCTGATCGATTCTTTTCTAATATCCTCATTTCTCTGGAAGTATTTAATTTCAAACGGAAATAGATTCAAAATCTATTTAAAAGTGAAAATCCATAATAGTTTATTGTTCTTATTTCAAATACGAAATAGAAATGGTGTTTTACGTTTTGGATATCTATTTCGAATGAATTCAATTCATAAAAGTTACTCCTATTTGCGTTTAGAAACATCTCGGATAAGAAAAGTCTTTCTTATGTTTACGGGTACTCATTTACATGCTCATTTAATGATTTATAGGTGTCCATTTATTTGAGGAATACGAAGAATGGTATAGAACGTAAATATATAAGAGGCATGAAATTACTATTTCGTTTCTATGTCCGAAAGTTGATACGTCGTAAATTTTCCTACGGCATTTCACTGTATATATATTTAGAAACTATTTTCTTTAAGCTAAGATAATATTGTAACTTCGGTTCAGTGGATGGAACAATTGAATCGCTAAGAAACTTGTTAACATTTAATAAAATATGTTTTATTATATTCTTGAAAAAATTCTGTAAATTATCATTTAACAAAAACTACGTCAGGTGGGTCAGGGACACTCCACAATAATACTGAAATAATTTTCATTAATTGTTTTTGTTTTATAAATATTTATTTTCTTTAGGAAATCCATTCTGCCCCTGGAGCAATTCAAATTCCACGCTGCTCCCACCGCTAGTACGCTGCGCGGCCGGAGAGGGCAGTACGGACAGGAGGAAATCATCGAAGAAGGCGAATTGCTGTCATCCAACTGTCAAGAACATACTGCGCACACTACCAGCGCAGAGAAGTGTAGACTCGATTACCATAGTTCTATTTCTCCTACCGTTCTGCGAACGGCACTCAATGGATGCATTCAGAGGAGACAACTGTTGAGTGATCGGTTTGCGCTCATCCGCTGAATGGGTACGTTCACTCAACATGTTTCCTGATGAGACGCCATTTTATGTATCACAAATTTTCTACGCTACCTACGCTCAACGCGTTTGGTAGATTAAATTCAAATTCAAACCATGTAGCTTCAAGTTAAAGAAGCAAGGATGGTAAATGAGATCAATTATTATAGTGAAATGTATGAAGTGAACGGTCTTCGGTACGATGTAGTAGAGAGTGCAGAAGTGCATAAAATGTTACAAAATGGTTCGTTATTTCGAAATGTATACTTAACCTTAATCTAATGTATTCTATCTTCCTAATATAGACCAAAAAACTAATAATAAATAAATAATTAAGTTAGTATGAACATGTGAGTGTTTCTTTTTTCAGACGTTACATTCTGTTACGAATATTTTTCTAAAAATATATCATCTATAGAAGTTGTTGGTGTATGTAACGAAAAGGTGCAAAATCCTTCAGGTAATGAAGTAGCTGAAATAATACACGACGTACATGTACTGTAAGCACTGACTGCTAATATAATTATATTAATTATATTATAAGGAGGTTAGGTTACACAACACTGGATACCGCCATATTATGATCACTGAATATTCCATTCAACAGAAAATCGCAACATGTTCCCAACTCATCGGTAACCGCTTTTCTCCTCCGAATGCACCCAATGAGCTGTCCGTATATTATACGTCCATGGAGCAATCTCCCAAATCATTTCTGTTTGAATCATCTCAACGGATATTTAGCCACACACTTGTCGGGTCTCTCTCGCTTTCCTTCTATTATTCCTCTCTGTCATATCTGTACTGCATTTCTTGTTCAGTAGACTCACGCGAATCATTTGACATTTTCCCCACAATAAAAGTTTCGTAATACTGCGAGCTGCTCATTTCTTATATTTTCACTCAATCTGCCAAACTTAATGAAATAGACCCCCTGAGCGTCTCAATTGACACTAAAACATGGATTTACTGGATTTGGACCCGACAAATCCCAGATTTCGAGTACCATGGAGACGTACTCATTGATATTAACGCTCCTAACGAAATTGGCTCAAATTTTAGAAAATCTCGTTGATAGTATTGTATATTTAACAGTATTGTATTAATAGTTTAGTTTATTTAACACTAATTCTCAGTGATAGTGAGTGAAGTTGAAAGGCGTAGCTTTTCCTGTGTAGCCATTTATTATCTTTATTAATGATTCTGTGCAACAGGATCGTACTTAATTGTTTAATTTAATTTATGTAAAGCTGTGTAAAACAGCGATCTCAATACGGAATTATGCAGTGTTTGGGTACTAGGCTACCCCACTACGGACATCCAGACTGGTAATTGAACAGCATTGCAATACTGGTACATCATGTTTTGTCTGTCCCAATAACAGAACATGATTATATTGCTAAACCTCGTTTTGCCAAAAAATAAATGGCTGCATGGGATACTCCATTTCTTCCTGAACAAGATAAGCTGTAACTTCCTTCAAAAATACATAAAAGCTAAATAATAAATTTTAAAAAACTTTCCTTATTCCTTAGCATTTTCCATAAGGAATACATTAAAACAATCTCCATAAGGTACACACCTAAATAAACATAACATTAGATTGTAATCGACGCAGAATGGTAATAGACAATTTTCTTATGTATCAATGACATATTGATAGTCTTCTTATAGTTTTTACAATTACAATTACAGTAATGGAATGCTTATTGAAGGGAAATATTTAAAGTGGTGTTCGGCGACTGGGACATACTTAGTCTGATATACTTGGATACACTGGTACACTTACCTTAAGTGATGAACGAGTAATGGCAAAGGTCATGTTGGACTTGCATAATAAAAACGTAGACTCAGTACAAAGTTTTACTTATTATGTACATTTGTTTCTGAAAAATAATTTAGAAATCTCGCTCTAGGAAAAATCATATTTATGGAAGGCTATAATTTCATCCTTTAAGTTATTCAAAGTACATCCTATACAAACATTTGTGGGTGTAGTTTCCTAACTTTCAGCTCCCTTAGATATAAAAACACATTGAGAAAATGATGTACCATTGCCCCTTAAATGAACAGAAAATACATTTTAACCTTGGTTATAATTCAGTGATTAGACTGTACCACCTATGTTATTTCAAACAGTTTTTACTATTAAAAGTTAAATAATTATTAATTGTACTTGAAACTACATTGTCATCGATCTTTCGTTTCCGATACTTAAGTGTGCAATATTTATAAAGGATTTTGCAGAGTGAAGCTTCTGTAATCCAAGTACTTTATCAGAGATGTAGATGAATAACACTTGTACTGTCCCAGAGTAACATTTTTAAGTTTAATATTTCAAGGTTTCAAAATAGTATATGAAAATAACCTTTCTTAAAATACATCTTTCAACTCTAAATGGTGTAACGGTAAACATTGTGTTTGAATCATAAAAAAAACCAGTATAAGTATATTTATCTGATGAAGTCAACTTTTTGGAAATAAAAAGTATTAAATTTGAAGAACACACAGAGTTGGTCTCTGAATATTACGATATTTAAAAGCCTGATAAGTCCCAAATGATTTGTACAAATTACGTGAAATGTAAAAAGTTTAAGGACATTAACAGACGATGCTATTGACAGTGTACCTTTGCCATTTGTGAACGCAGTTCTGCAGTTTGATTTTCTCAAAATTGTATAAATCTTCTAAACCCAACATTTTTTAAGAAATCATACAGGTAGAAGTTTGTGATCCAGTCTCTGCGTTGTTTACATTATTGTAACTTCCCCGAAAATTAGTTTCTTCGGAGCACATAGTGGAGTCGTGGGAACGCTCTTCTTCGACTACTCCCGTTGTCGTAGATGTATGGCTAATTGAGGAATGTCGAGATCTGGAGATGTTTCCTCGCGGATTACTCCCTGAAGACGGAGCTGGACTAGGTGATGGGCTTTCAGGTATTTGATCCTGTTCTTGTTGTTTCGTTAACACCAGGCGACACAGTAATGACACTTGTCCTTGAATACTCGTCATAAAAGGTCGGTATCCTAGACTGAAAGAAATATTTTTGTTGGCATCTTTAATTAATCAACAGACATTCATAATCCAGTTAAGTCACCAGAAGTAATATTCACCACTCAGAGTTGGACCACTTGGTTAAGGTCAACAGACCATCTCTTAGGCTTGCTGTAGATTCTGGAGATTGTATAGGAGTATGGGCAGCTCTTATAGTCCTAGCCATTGCTGGTGCATCTCTTAGAACAGTAGCCAGGATTGTAGCCCATCCTAGACAACCTGCTTCTAAGAAAAGCTGCAGAAGATACCTAAGTTGTACCTCTGCACGACTCACAAGACCTCCAGAAGAAGTGGCATGGACCTCGATGGGCTCTACGGATTCAGGAGGTACCCAGCAAACCTGGTTTCCGATTCCCGTCCCTACAATAGACTCCACATCGTCTCTCCAAATTGTGCTAGTGTCACTTAGAATACTGTTGGCGTCTGCAAATTTTAATTACAATAAATCGGTCACATACGAAACAACCATTTAAAAGTTTTTACAAAACTACATATTGATTATTCAAAGGAATTAAAATTAGCTTTCCTAATACAAATAATTGTATCACAAATTAAAACCTATAAACGGAACGGTTGCAAGTAATGCGATGGTGTTAAGTGGACATGTCTAATGCATCTTGGTTACATTTCTGTTTGTCGGATACCACTGGTTTAAATAAATGTGACATGCTCATTCATTGATTAAGCTGCAATTAGTAGTCATTGATTTGATTTCAGACAGCTTATATCCGATAGAAAAATTATCATACTGCAGTGACATCTGATCACACATAAATCACACTGACAAATCTGTTGATCATTTTTGAAAGATATGTTACCTACTTTGAGTACCAGTTTTATCATGAATTTTACTAATCTATTTATCAAATGTATTTATAATATGTTAATAAACCATTTTAAGTACTGAAGTATTAACTTTGCCACTGAGTAGAAGACTATATGAAAGTTATGAATTTACACGTGGAAGCATGGACATATACTGGGTGCTTTTCATGATTTCTAACAGTGAATGGTTCGTGGGAAAAGTCAATTGAGAAATTGCACCTTGTAACATGTGTGGGGTTAGCTTGGCCTCGATCGCAGGAAACTGAGTTTCCAAACTCGCCACTGGAGACACCAGGCTCATGTAAGGTGGTCTGCCACTGGGCAGACTAGTATATCCACTATCGGGAAGGTCAACGGCGAAGTTTGTAGTTAAAGGTTCCTCTTCAGGACTTTCCTGACTGATGGATCGTATGGACCGCAAGGAAGTGAGGCTAGACCTTCGAAATTTTTGCAAGTTTGGTATTGAGAGTACCGGATAGGGAACCTGAAAGTCTTCGTGAACTGCTTTCAACGCGGCAACGTAGTCCTCAATTCTGGCGGCACGATCTCGTTCGCGTGCTAACCATGTCACCAGATGAAAATCCAACCGAGCTGCGAACCTTCCAAGATCCGCTAGACGACGGGCTGTTAATAATCGTCGAGCATGACGTTGGAGAATAACATCAATGAAGAATTCCTCGGCTGATCCTTCCCTGTCGAGTAGTTTTAAAGTTATAGCAGAAAAAAATCAATTGTCCCATTTAAGGTGAAGTGAAACACGTCGAAGAACTTGATCGACGTCGATAAAGAAGATTTCTCTAAATACCTACGTTGCCGACGTTCGTTTTTATATTGACAGCTGTGTCGAATTATATTGGGTATTGTACCAAATGGCATACTCCACCTGTCGTTTTTGTACAATAAAGATAAAAAAATTGAAGTAAAACTCCAGAAATCCTCTGGATTCATGCTTTCTGGGGCCCTAATTGATTGCAGAAGGACCCCCTGCGCCATCTGTGATTTCCAGGTGAATTAAATCTTCACTCCGAGACCTCGTATTCCCATCGTTTTAGCATAGAAGCGCATACAACACTTTTTTTGACTTTATCCCGTTCAAATGCGAGTTTATCGATTACCAGAGTGCTCTAAATTGTCGTAAAATTGTCCTGACCCTTTCGTTTCTCATATCAGAGCCTTCGATAATTATTTATTGATCAAAATATGAGAGCTCGACGCCATTTTGATTCTGGTCTGGGCCAAGTTAAAAAAGTTTTTCCAAAAATCCAAATTTTGAATGTGTCAGGACAATTCTTAGATGATCAGGAGTGATGTGTCAAAATTTCGGACAGTTTGGTCTAATACCCTTAAAAAAAAGTGTTGTAATCGACTGATTTCAAGGGGGTTTCACTTCACCTTATGACTCCAGTAGAGATGGGTCGGACATATTGAATTGCGACGTCAGGGTCGAGAAAATCATGTATAATTCCCAGTCGGTATTCTGCAAAGCGAATGATATTTACTAACGAATGCTAAGATACAATGAAATTAGATATTCACTAAATGTCTCAACTGGTCAATTTATGACGAATCATGTACTATGAAACGAGAAATTATTTTCCGAAAAGGGACACATTGACGGACCTATGATTCCGAGGGGATAATCTGACAATAAACACAATGTCATCGCAAACCCGGATTGACTGACGCATTTTATGCATCCTCTGATCACTACGATACTCATACTTGGACGAAAAGGAGAAAAAATATATACCCGAATATCGGCTGGAAATTTCACGCGATTTTCTCGTCTTCTGGCGCCACAATTCATTATGGCCGATGCACCTCTATTAGGGTCTTAATAAGTTGCTATACAGCAATAAAGGATTCTACAGACTTTTTTTATTATAAAAATTCAAATAGATTAACTTACTTGTTCTCAGTCTTTTCAGCCTTAACGGTTGGTACGGATTTTTTTCGTCTCATAACAACGTTTCTAGTCTTTTCCAGCACGGAAGACGGAGCTAGATCTTTATTTCCCGAATCGGACTGAACTTTTGGTGTGGTGGTGGTGCTGTAACTTCGACTTCTGGATACCTGCATTGTTCCCAACACAAGAGACAGATCATCCTCGTGTGGCGAAACAGATGGAGTTTGGGGAGGACCTCCTAATTTCGCCGTATTTCCCCAGGATGATCGTGGTGACTCCACGTCATTCGGATCTTACAAGTTTAAGAAATAAAGCAAACATAACTAACGTCATCAAGTAAAAGTGAATTAATAGGTAACGTATTGCCACGTATGCGAGTTAACTTTGCTTTCAAGTAGTAAAGTACAATTTTTTTTATAGACATTCCATTATAGTATTGTTATGTCAGTTCATAAAAAAGATGCAAAAAAAACTGAATTGAGTTAGATACGTTAAAGTATTACCAATAGCTCTTAGGAACCGCACCAAATCTCTAGAGAGCTCCCACCTTCCCTGTTCCAAGGCGGCATCCAAAAGTAAGGTTGCATGTTGTCTACTAACAGAGGACGGTTCTAAATTTTGTAAGATTATTAAATAACTGGCAGCCGTGTCCAATTGCTGGCGGTGTAAACAGTCTTGCAGTAGTTTTTTTGGTGGACCTGCTACTGAGAACAAGTACGGCCACAGAGCAATTTCCGTTTTCCGAGCACATTGTACAACCGCTCTTGCCCATACTCCTGGAAACTCTCGGATAAATTCTACCACGGAAGGAAGCTGAGCGTCGGGAATTGGTTCTTTGCTGGTTGCTTCCTCTTCCAAAACCTCGTGAAGCAAAAGTTCGAGAGAATGTGGAAAATAGGGCAAAGCCGAGCAAGATCTGGCGATCTCCCAAGCGTGGTACCCCAAATTTCGATGGATCAATTGACGCAGAATCTGGTGTAGGTAAACTTGACTCTGAAAGACACGACTATTAATCTTAAGTTATCGTAATGTGTGACCACAAGAATACAATTTTTTCCCGTGTACTCACCGTTAATTCTAATAAATTAAACGGTAACGAAAACGGAGAATTCGTATCAGACGTGTAAAGTACAGTGTCGTTTTCCGCACCAAGTAAAATTGCATCCTCGAAGAGTATCGCCAGAGGATATATTCGAAGATGAAAAGGAAGCATCATTCTTTTGCTCATAAAAGTATGTAGTTTATCTTGGTGATTTCTTGGAAATAAAGGTAGCCAAACTCTCATTCCATGGGCTCCACAGAAGAGCCAAAGAGCTTCTGTCAAATGTGGCTTATCTCTTCTAGATCGCCATGGGACCCATACATTTTCAACACAAGATGCGAGAACCGTAGGTGTACTGCACGTAAAGAGCTACAATAAAAGATTATGGAATAAAGATATTATTATTTTCGCTGAATTTCAATTAAATCCTACGTGTTACGAACCATTTCTGAATTATCAGTGCAATGTTCGCGCTGAACCATCACAAGTCGTCCGGACACATTGAGAAGTAGACTTTCGGGATGAGGATGGCTTCCGGCGGTTTCTGCACGAATTGCAGTCAAAGTTGCGCTTACAACGCAAGCAGGATGTACACATAGTCCTCCAATGTCGACTGTTTGAGTTCTTGTCAACTCGATGATTCCCGTTCCTATTTCAGCCAAAGTTTTACAAGGTTTCTGCATAATTTTATGGCTATAGAGGTAATTTACTTACCCTCGTTACCTTCTAATTTCATATCATATATACTGATCTGAGCATTGGCACAGAAAGTTAAGAACCTTTCTTTTAGAGTGTTCAAGAGCAGAACTTGCGATGACACTTTAATATTCTTTACATAATTATTATCCAGACGTGTATCCCGTGGGTAAATTCTAATCTCGTCTTTATCTTCAAGGAGGGAATAACTTCCTGCTATGAGAAAGCCGCGATACCATAGAAGCCCCCCAGTCACTATGAAATCTCGTTCTTGAGTCTCATTACCGAACAGCTTCCATTTACGGGATAACAAGGAATAATGGGCTAACCCAGTCCTGCCAGCAACAGCTAAACTTAATCCATCGTTGTCAATAGCCGTGTACTAAATATTCCAAAAAGAAATAAGAATATCATAGTAAGAACACAAGAGAACACAATGTTAATAATAACTAGATTGTACTAGCAACTCTAAATATTTTAGCTAAGTTATTCTTTTTATATACCACAACATAAAATTCATTTTTATTAATAATAATCAAACAATTCACCTACTCTTATAGGCCAGTTGGAACCACTGTAGGCACTGGGAATTGGTACAACAAGCCACTGTTTGGAACCAGCAAGGGTTTGCGTTGAGGTATCCAAAGGAACTTCATTAACAAGGTGAAAACCAGAAGAATTATTTGACACACCACTTCCAAGGTTTAAATACAATCGATTCTCGCCTTGTAAATATAAGTGACCATGTTGACTCTGAAAATGTTCTGGAAGTTCATCTCTGTCAATAATTTCGAAGCAATTTTTTATGATTAAAGGTTTCAACGGACCATACAGGGATTTACAGTTAAAGGACTTTTAACGAAATCTAACTGAATGAGAGATCGTTTCCTCCCATTTTGTTCGTTTCCATTTTCCTCGACGAGTGATGGCCCTGGAGATTCTCTAAGCATCCACAGTTGATAACCTTCTGCTGACCATTCCTTAAAATAAAAAAAGAGAAGAATAAACATTTGATTATTCTAGCTTGTTTGAGAAAAACCGCGGAGGAAGAGTGTGTTAAATGGCTGACCATCGTAAGGACGTGAAGCGGATTGTCCCGACTTAGGTCCACTCTTAAGCCATAATCCCATTTTAAGGTACATAATAATAGAGCGCCAAAGGTACTCCATATTGCAAGGCCACCACCCTCCCAGGCCAAAGCGATTGCACAACTATCTGGAGTCCATCTTAAGCATTTGACACTTCCTGGTCTGCCAGGATAATCCTTAGAAGATAAACTCAAACTATGCGATACTTCCAGGCCTCCCGTTGTCTCGTCAACGTAATAAACAACACCTTCGGAACTAGTGCAGTGTACAATTAATCTCAGTGAGATGGAAAAAGTAAAATAAAGCTTTATTACAATGATCTTACTTTTGTCTTCCAAAAGCTATCAGTCGGTACTTATGATTTACTGCTGCACATGTAGCATCCTCTAAATCCCTACCCCAAATGCCTTGAACTTGCTGAAAAATTGATAATTTCTTTGTTATAAATGTTCTATGTTAATTAAAAAAAAAAAAACAACTATACATATAATCACGTACATTAGGATCAAACTTTAATGACTGAGCAGTTAAAAATGCTGCTCTGCCATTGCTAAGAACGATTGCGAATCCCCCGACCAGAGGTGAGTATTCTATATCCGAGACATATACATTATTTTCTGTTATTGGGATTGCTATAGTTGAGACCTGTTGGTCAATACTAAAGGGAATTCGTCGCAGATCAAGAGAGTAGTCTCGGTTGGCAGTACTGTCCCATTTATAACGTATTACATGACTTGTTTTTGTAGCTACCATAAGTTCGTCACGAATACAAACAAGAGAACTGATTCCACCATCTACCCATGCTGACTTTTCCTGTAGATAATGAATTTTCGGTTTATTTCCAAAAACTAAATATTATCACATGACTTACTACTATCCATAAAGACTTACGAAACTTATACTTAAAGCAGGTATAATTTCTTTGATAAATAATTCTGCACTGTCTCGTTTCAGACTAGTCACTGGAGAATCTTTCTGGTCATATAACCCATGGCCATCCGTGCTGGTGTCCATTAGATGATAAAACAATAAGTAACTGTCCGTTGTCTATATTAATTAATGAAATGAATTAAAAGTTTGTCTGTAATAAATAAGTATAATTGCATTAGGTTTGTATTTACCGAAACAACCAACATGTTTGAATCCGGTCGCCATTGTACCAAGTTGTTTTCTCCATATTTTCTTAAAGAGTCTAGGGTTCTCCTAGTAAATACGATTGGCATGCATGGCTACAGAAAATATATAAAATATAGTTAATATATTTTGTCCCATATGTTATACAATTTTTATCCTGACTAAAGACAAATTAATATTGAACATAATGGTTGACAGTACTGGTTTCAGTTTCACTTGTAAATTTATTAGATGTAAGGTTCTTTTTTTGTCCCTTAAAATCATAAACACTCTTTGGTCAATCGCTAGCAAGATAGATTACAGAGGGTAACATTGCATAACTACTTACGAAAACTAAATTCTATCACAACTTACAAAGCCAATATTTCACAGAGTGTAATGGTCATACCTTGCAATACCAGATGGCCAGAGCATCTGTAGTTAGAATGGCAAAAAGTATCTTGTCTCTATTGCACACGACTGCACGAATTTTCTCAGGCTCCGTCGAGTTTAAAACCCGCGGCCATCCGATTGGAAAGAACATAATCTCATAAAATTCAACGCGTATTTTTCACGGCATCTTCTTTTGACCTTCCACCGCTGTTCAACCTCATTAGTCTTAACCAATAAGACAAATTAATAAACAAACGATAAGTAACCTAAAAGATATTTGGCCGTCCATGTCATAATCATACACACAACCCACGAACAGCGAATAAAACCATAGTCAAGAAATACTAATAGCAAAGAATACAGAAGTCTCCATAGAAACGCAATTTCCGTGAGGCGCTTGATAATAAATAGTAATCAAGGCAAAAGCTAGATGGCAGCATGGGCGAATTAAATATGGCGACTCGTTCGCCTATTATTCATTTTTGTTAATGATAAATGAAACACTGTATCAACATAATCACGGTACTTATTATTGAGCCTATTTGGCATGTATAAACTTTCTTTTGTTACAAACTTAATAGATCGCGTTTTGCGGTACTTCATCGGTAGACATTTCTTCTTCGTCTGTTCTATATCTAACTACACGGTGAACCAAGGTGTGTTTGCGCGTTGTCCTATCGGAGCGCCGCTTGCGGCGTTTTCCTGAACTGTGTATACGGGTACCCTTGCCTAGCTGCTATGCCCCATAAAGCCAAGGTTGACTAAGTATATCAGATAATATACTAATAGCGGGATTCTGTACTATAATTAGAAGTTCAACAATATAATTTTCTTATCATGTCATGAAAGCGTGAAGTATTTAACAGTTTTCAATGTTTAATAATGCAATATGACCTCGCAATAACGAAAACTAACCTGTACATACTAGTAAATTCTCTTTCTTCTAACGAAAATGGGTCTGAGGCATCGCGTAATCCTCTTCTTCTTCTTGGAAGATGGCGTTCACGGCGCTTATTTTTCATTTTTTTCTTGTATGCTTCACCATTTTGCTTAAAGATTTGTGCCGAGCCAATTCATATGAATGGTGTCGCATTGTCACCGTCAAAAACGTTCCGTAATACCGTGAGCTACTCATTTTTAACAGTTTCGTTCAATTTGCTTTACATAATAGATCCCGAGTTGCGAGATTGCTCACGGGCAGGGTCGCGCGATCGCGTCCTGTGCTGCCCTTTAGCGGTTAGTTTGGGCGACTAACGTACTTGCCACCTGTTACCGTATATATCGCGACACTTGGCCGCGATCCAGCTCCCAGATTGGGCGAGGCCGGGCCCAATCCAGGAGCCGGTCCGGCCGTCGGTCGCCGCCCGGGCCGACGGACTGGCAGTTGCCCCGGATAAGCCACTGTGATAAGACACCGCGATCAGTCTATAGAATGGCGAGGGACGTATTACGTGCTACGTTCCGAATTCAAATCAACGTGGCGTGAAATATTTCTCAAGGACCGACGGCATTCTCGTTTGTAACAAGGTTCAGGGGAGGCTCCGTAAATGGTGGAAGGGGGGGGGGGGGGGGTACGCGCAGTTTCTGTGCCGACACGCGAAAGAATCGAAGTCAAGACGGTCAGGGCGACACAGCGATCACGAGTCCCGAGTGCCAAGGATTAAATATCGTTCAACGTAGGAAGAGGAAACGGAAGCAGCGAAGGCAGAGGAAGCGGAAGCAGAGGTGGAATACAGCCAGAGCTAACCTCGGGGCGGAGACAGACGAGGCCGAGGCCAGAAACCCCAGGTTCCTTCGAGAGGGATCTTCTGGAGGAGTACCACACGAAGCAAACGAAACGTCCCGTCGGTGAGTTTCAACATTTCGTTCCTCCGACCTCCTCATTTCACAGGACAAAAGGCCTGTACCGGCACGGGAGTCGATTGTATGTTACGATTTATATGAGGGACCGCGAGTCGGCGGGACGACTACTCGCGAGTGGCCGCGTGGATTTTCTTTGTTTCCTGTGTGTTAATTTAGAGTAAAGTGTTATGAGCGTACCCGATTTTCCTCGAAATAAAGAGGCGCGCATTACATTAAGTATGAGTCAGTTACCGGAAGATAAATATCGAATCCAAAGCAACGATAGTATCATCTGATTAAACCGGAAAATTTACAACGAGTGGAGCAATCATAAGGCGTGCAAATAAGCCTTTTGGCCTCTTCGCACGCCTTCTGCACCGAACAGCACTCTGGATCAAAACACAAGGCCTACTCATCCGTCAATGTTGTGACTTCCTGAGCACGTCCGATCAAGCACCTAAAAACAAAATTCAAAAACAAGGAAATTGGACCCTGTCCTCACGGGCATCTCAAGGATAAGATCTCGTATAAAAACCGCACCGAAGAAGAGTACGTCGCTAGTCTGAGGCGGTCTGTCAATCACTCTTCTACCAAGACCGACCTCTCAGTCTGTCTACACTCTGTGTGGCTGGGGCTCTCCGAAGAGTTGACCGTACTGTAGTAACAGTAGTGCGTTTCGGTACTCCGACATCCACGAGCCAACAGCGAGAAAAACGACGGCGCTGCGACTTCTGGACCAGCAGGAGAATCTTAGGAAGCTCCAACCCTAAGGCACGTCCCGGCTTGAAGGCGTTCACGTGCAGTTCATCACAACCGGCAGGACATAGGAGAGACATCCCCGGAAGTAAAGGCCCCTGCGAAGTCAAGGTACAGATCTTCTTCAAAGAGCTCCAATCTTTACCTCTTTCACACTTTATCACTCGATTTCGAACCCTATTCCAAATTCCTAACCCGCAACACAATTCGGCATTCACCTTCCGGTAACAACTACCGAATTCTAACTCTTCACCATATAAATCGCAATTCATTAACTGCCCTTGCTGAGTAAGGCGAAGCGCACCTTGCAAGCAATGAAACACGCGTCAGCATTCCGCAATTGATACGCGGACATATATCGTTACACTTCCGCGAGCCGCTAGCGCGCGGCCACCAACGTCCTTGTCTCGTCTCACGACGATCCGCTTAGCACAGTATATCTTTCGCACACCTTACCCCCATGGACATTGTACCCCTTGCATCACAAATAGAACTGTTTGATTCAATATAAAACGACAACTTAATTCTCACGAGACCTTAAACCCCTCCTGAGTCCTCATTGCAACTTTCAAACCACACTTTGAGATCCAAAAACCTATCGATCCCACTATAAATATTGACCTAGCCGCTCGGATTATCCACTCCATATTTCTCAAATCATAAACTGGTTTACGCGTGCATACGAATTAATTCCTCTACAAACCATATACCGCTCGGAGGAATCTGCAAAATTTTCACGGCTTCGCTAGCCACTCGGCCGCCACGTAACGAGAGATAGACTTCTCCCGGGTCTGCGGTAGATCTCGTTTCCCTTTCCTTTACCGAGCGCCGGGAGTCGGACGACCCTCCAACTTCAGGGCCATCAGTTTCGCGATAATTTTTTGGTCCATTCGAAAAAGACTTGAGAAAACGATCTCACGAGGAGTCGGACCCGAGTCGAGGTGGCACTTTGATGTGTCTACGAGTTGGTTTAGAACCGCCGCCTCGACGAGGGAAACGGCTTCAAGGTTTTCAGCATTTTTCGACTAAGCCTTCCACTACCCTGGGGCCGTAGTGCGTGCTGGGCTTGGCCTTTCTGTCTTGTAGAAATTGTGGAGTATCGATGTCCAGTAGAGTCAGTAGCTTGTTTTAGCGATATATAAATTAATCAGCTTACGATGTTTTCAGCGTCATCGACGGTAACTGCCTCTTCCTGTGGCCGTGTTCTCTACTGGCCCTCGCCCTTCGACTCCTCCAGGAACGAGTTGATCAGCTTGGCGCCAGAAGGCGTGGTAAATTGTAACTTTGTAAATTCCTTCGATTGCCATCCGCGTTCCGATTCCATGTATTCGTTCCTTTTATTTTTTTCATTCAACCGGCGATGGCAATCGGTGGGACGTTTGAATGCGAGAACTGAACTCGGAGGTCGGAGGCATCCCGGGATGCGCTCACTAGGATTAAGCTCATCGCCCCCAGGTGGATTGTGAGAGAACCGTGGAGCGAGTGTGTTGGAACGAATGTGATTGTTCTTTTAAATACAGCTAGGGAGGTAGGATAGTTGTCTGGAATGAACGTCTAGATGTAAGCAGACAGGGCCAGCGCGGGATCTTTTCCCGGGGGTTTGGGGGGAGATCTTGAACCTGGGGTACTTATACATCATTCGCCCTTCCAGAAGGCGGAGGATGTCCATCCTGCGGCCGGGGTTCAACACCGAGGAGAAAAATTACTTTCCGAAGAAAAAAATGAAATTTTTGTGATCTATTTCTCGCTAACAGTGCGAATAGTTTGAGACAAATTTTAGGTATAAAAATCTTTCCGCGAAATGGATTCCGTCTGATATTATCTTGTGATTGTTCGGGTTGAAGCTCTGATTCTTCCAAAATCAATGTTATTGAAGCCATAAAATATCTTGAGCAGGAGACTTCTGGATCACAGCGAGTAATTAATTTTAGTTTCGGAAGTAAATTATTCGCTCGGGGTATTCTCGGACGCCCGTGATTACGAAAATGTTCTTTCGGGAACAAAATTAATTAGATCGCGCATGGTAATCCGGATAAATGTGCAATACGCCCGGACTACTCATCCTTGGATCGTAGGTCGTCGTTTTTAAATCTGCTCGCGGAATGATTTTTTTTAATACGAAAAATCAGGGGATTGCCAAGCGTTCGAGACGTAGGGGGCTCTGCCCGAAGAGACTGTAAGAGTCGAAGAAGCTGTATGCCGAAGCGGCCCCTTAAAAAGAAGGCAACGACGATGGCCTTCCGTTCTTTCGAACGGACAGCCATCCATTTTTTGGCCACGTCACTCCCGTTTTTGTCTCTGTCACTTTGTCAGGATTGACGGAGAAAAGACGTCGAACGATCATTTCGCTTATATTTTGTCGATTCTACATTTAAATGGATTTTTTCCTACTCATTGATAGGAAAAATACCAGTTCGGTCAATTTAACGAGATCGATATTCTTGACTTTTAGTAACTTATTTCCTGCCTAATCTCAAAGTTCCTGGATTTTGTTGATGTTTTGTTTTGCCTGTTCTCTTATGTCCTTTTCCAGGTTTATGTGGATCACAACAGGATCTATGTTTTCTTCTCAAGTCATCATGAGTAGTTCGTCGCAGCAAATCTTGCTGGAGTTGTTGGTAAGAGATGTTAAAAAATGTTAAACGCCGTATGTTAGTACAGAGATGAGTTGGGATCAGAGATGAAGAGGAACCCAGAATTGAGCCGTC